TGATCAGGCCCTTAACTTTTCTGTGCCTCACTTCCTCATCTCTGGAAAAGGGATTACAATATATCTCAACCTGGCAGAAGTTTTTATGAAGATAAATTCATTAGTGTTTGAGGTCATATTTTAAACCCAATAGACAGTGATATTCTGTATGTTTTGCTATGAAAATAATGTCATTTGGATAAACATTCCTATTTAAATTTGAAAAAGTCACTAAAGAGAACAATTTTCAATTTGCAAAATAATGTAAAATTTTCAGATGATGAGCAAAATATTTTCAATTATATCCTTATCTACAATTCAGCATATACTGTGCAATCTTATATCAAGGTAAAGAAAAGATGGGTGAAGAGGAAAAGGTTAGATCTGAGATGTAAATTAGAGGAACTTTTGGGTGTACTAGTAGAACTACATAGGTGTGAAAAGTAGGGCCTGATCCTGTAGAACTTGCTCCAGCAAAATTCCTCTGGAAATTTCATAATGAGGTAACAGGGAGGTTTGCTAAAATAAAAGATGGCAGGATTGGGCCATTATCACTACTGCTACCTGGTCTCCATGCCAGAAAGATTGCAAAAAAACCTGTCGGAATTTTCCACTCCTAGCCAGGACCAAGAAATATAGCAGCAAGCCAAACTGAAATATAATAATATTATGTACAAATTTCGAGTCTGTAAAACAGATGAAGGGTTGGGGGGATTTTTATTCTATCTGAACTTGATTCATTCATCCCTGCATTAATTAAAGGAGGTGGATTCGCAAGCACTTCCATCTTAGAAAAATTGCTTCCTGGATCACACTTCCTTCCATTTGCAATGGTGCAGAATGCTGTGCTGTCTGTGCATGTTCCCTATCTGCTCTCACAACATAGACAGCGTCCTCTTCCATTTGCAATTTCATAGTATTCCCACTGTAGGGGGAAGTAAAATTAAGTAATAGGAAAATATTTAATGTATTTTAGCTGTTTTCAATGTGATTTAGCAGCTCAAAATAAGACAAAGCAACACTCTATGAACAAAGGTTCTCTGTGGATCACCATTAAGTACTCCCACCACCACCAATAGTCACTGCATCACAGTATGAAAAACTCTACATTAAAGGGTCTCTTGTAAAATCATATATTGGAAAGAAAAGTTGCTTAGTCTGCAAGAGAAGGCCACCAAATTCCCTGAAAGAATTCATTAAAGATTGTGACAAATTAAAGGTTCAGGATGAGATTTTCAAAGCTGTGTGCATAAGGGATTTGGATATTAATGGCAATTGGGCATCTGAATCCGCTAGCTGGCTTTGAAAGTCTCAGGGACAGTGTCAATTCTAATTTCTATTATGATACTAGGGTCTTCTCCTGCCTCTGTTGATGTCAAAAAGAGTTTTGTATTGACTTAAATAGGAGAATTAGGATCTCTCTTTTGAGACTTGATTAAGCAGCTTTCATTTCTTCCCCGTTATGTGCACAAGCTTTGTCAGGAAAACGAAGGATCAGAATTTTGACAACTGATATACTATAGGATACATAGTGAAACTGCATTACTTTGATCTTGTCATAATCTGCTGATGTGGACACAGTGGCAAAATGATGGCACACATGCATGGAATTAAGCAGCAGGCCACAACTTTTATTAAAGTTTAACACAGGGGAGGGCCACTGGAGAGGCGCTACCCACCCCTACTCTCCTATACCAGACATTTAATTGGTTCCAGTGCAGGGATTACAGGGCTTCTTACCATATAACCCATAATGTGAGGCAGTTCTCCCCACAGGACTCAACTGTCTGAGTGCTAGCATCCTACCCCCACAAGAGGGACATAGGATTAGGCAGAGTGAGGACTGCAGCCAGCAAGATCCAACAAGGTCAAACCTCAGCCTATGAAAGTGACAAAGTCTCACCATATCACATGAGCCCAAGACCCATCACCAAAATCCAAAGTCTCTTACCTCTGGGAACCATACATTTTATTCTCTTAACTGCACTGGAAACCAGCTGCAAGTTGCAACGAATAAACACTACCGCTCTAGGACCTCAGTTACATGCTAAACACATTCCTACTTACCCCACTATGGCTTGAAGATACTTTAGGAAGGCAAAAAACTTTCTGGCCCTCTACCAAATGATTCATGGGAGAAAAAAATTCCTTCCTGACCCCTAAATGAGTGATTGGCTAGACCTGCAGGCTGGGTTCCCGTTCCTGGTGTAGGTGGATAGGATGGGCTGCTATAATGGAGCCAAAAGAGGTTCCACATGGCCTCTGCTCTGGACTAATTCCTAGGAGCTGGGAATGCTGGCCACTCAGCACCCTTCTCTCTCCCAGCTAGAGAATGGGTGCCAGAAGCTACCAATTGTCCCTTGACACATGTCTCTCTCCCTTACCCCTTTTACCACCAGACCCATTAGTTCCCCCCACCTGTTGATGTGGGTGGGTGGGTGGCATTTGGATGGCTGGCATTTGGATGGCCATTCACCCTTTACCCCAGGTAAATGAGATTCTAATGTTGAACAAAATAAGCTACTTTAAAGGGGACGGAAATATATGTCCAGAAGTATTACAGTACTTAGAAATAAAGATAGGTGCTTGTGACATTCCAGCCTTCTGCTTTATCATCTAATTACTTTTCAAGGGATTTGAGTCTTTCATGCTGCTAGTTTGCTTTGTGCTCTAACAATCTGCATCACCCTCTTTCCTTTTTAAACAGTCTCCTCACCCCATTTTGATACAGTTAAAACATTGAGTGAATTGTATATATTTTGCTCTACATAACCTTTACTTTCAGTTTACAATCAGCTATATAATTCATTAAAATAGATTGTGTGTGGGGGCAGGGATTATTATTGAAAGATATCAATTTTCTCCTGAAATTCAGTTTCAGTGAACGATTGCTCCTTGCTTTGTCTGATTTTGTCTTTTTAGAGCTGGTCAGAAAAGGCAAACAATATATGAGCATGGTTTGAGTGATTATGGGCATGTAGCTTTCTTTCTGATAGGGGAAGATGGGAAGTGGGATTAAAAAGGGAGATGAGAAGGGTGGGGAAGGACAAGAGGGTTTGGTATTGTGTCTGGAACAGAAAGTCCAACAGACTGTCACTGTGGCTGTCTACTGTAAAGACAGGATGCTGAAGCCACTGCATCCAGTTCTACTGGCTGACTTTGAAGGTCTATACTAGTCCTGGCTATGTGGGTAGCTCAGATGGGAACCCCTGAAGCATGGTGAGTCCCACCCCTTTATGAAAATTTGTGGAAAGTGCATAAACTGTGCAGACCATGTTAGACATGAATTGTAAAAATTTGCTTCACTAAGTTTTTGCAGGTTTTTTTTTTAAACAATGCTGTGGGTTGTTTATTCTTATTATTCAGAGTTGTCACATGTAGAACTGAGCAAGAAAGTATTCCCAAATATTTGTTTGAATTAATATGCATATTCACTTTAGCATCCTTTTTTGTTTTCTGAAAACATGGGCATGTTGCTTTTCGTTGGAAAGAAAATTCATGGACATTAATAGTCTCATAATACTCATATGAAAATGTGTTTGTGTGAAAGTTCAAATTTGAAGTAACCTAGGGCTTGTCCACATGTGAAGTTATTCCAGAATAGATACTAAACTTTGCATTCACACCTTATATTAATCCATATTAGCTTTCTAGGGTAGACAAGCCCTTATTCAATCCCTTTTTATGTGCACCCTCCACACAGGGGAGGAGGATGTTTGCAGCAGCAAGATTGTCTAGCTCCACCCTCTCCTGGGCCAATCCCCTGCCATTTCTGTATTGTCACACAAGGAGCAGAGCTCCACACCATGCAGGTGATGACTGTCACCCTGGAGTGCAGAATGAATTTCTTTCAGACTTTTTCTGCATCATTTCCTGACAACATAACAGCCTATATATTCTTTAAAAAGTAAGATTTATGTTAAAAAGTCATTGTTTGTAAAAAAACTAAAAATTATGTTTAATTTTTCCTTAGCTTTTCTTTGAGAACAGCACTGAACTTCCACTGCATGTACATTACCCTTAGGTATAGTCTGGCAGCTATAAAAATAAAAGCAGCATTTAGCATTCATAAATGAAATTCTAGCATAGTTATTTTGAACCATGTTCTTCAGTACTTTCCAGTTGCTTTTGTAGTAGTCAAATGACAAAACAGCTATGAACCTAGTTCAGCCAGGCTTATGATCGCTTTGCATTGCCAGCATGGACAAAAAGGTGAGATTGTACCAAGGACTCTGGCCCTTTATGTTTTCTTGTCTTCTTTCTCTTCATTAGTGTTCTACCAAATACTTTGTGCACCAGAAACAGTTATTGAAAAACTGGGATAGAAGTATAGAAAATAGTGATTTTGCTTTGTTTCAAGATTATAAAGTTTCACTTAATTTTTAAAAAGCTCCTCCTGATAATCTATAATACAAACTAATTCAGCTGTGAAAACATGCATAGTATTCCCTAACGCAGAACACGTAAGAATATGATATCTTTGCACGGGGCACACTCTTGACAAATGCATAATTTTCGTAATCACGTGGGTATTATGAATAAGGAGGGACTAGGAGGAGGCTCTTATTAAAAAAATGTAGCCAAGTAAAGAAAAAGGGGATCCTATATTGTTCTATACACTGTTCACAAAAGGAAAGAGAAGAAGAATGTATTTCAGCCAAAACCAACAAACATCCAGTTACGGTTCATTCCAAATCCTCTGGTTTAAAGCTTTTCACTGAAAGAACTTTGTAAGTCAAAGATGTCAAAATTGCCAGAGAAACTTCACACACAACTCCAATCTCAAATCCTGTCCTAGCTATAACCATGTGCAATAGATACATGTGTGTTTAACTGTGTGTAGCCTTTCAGTAATATATATATATATATGCATGATCTGGTATATGCACTCATCCAGAGGCACAACAAAGGTAAGCTCTGACTCCTAAGATAACATGGAAGTAAACGTATCCTGAGGATTGTTAAGCCAACACACTATTAAATATACCTCTAACATTGTTCTTTTTTCTTCACTCTTGCAGCTACCACATGTGATGGAAGAAATCCAAGTTAAACACTTTCACCAGAGCATGCTCCAAGATAGATGACTAGGCCTCAGGCTTGGCCAATACAATACATTTCCATTCTCTATTTATTTTTGTAGTTCAAAGATCTGGCAGTAACCGATTTGATGCCTGCCATCAGGACCAGTACACTTCTGATTACTGCCGTGAGATTTTCAAGCCCACAGACAGCATGTACTCCAGCATATGTCAGCTACCAAGATAGACTATGTACAAATAGCAGGAGGATTCTCTGCAAATGGAAGCTGGCTTTTTTCTTTCACTTTGAAACCTCTGATGATAGGCTGCCAACTTGCAGACCTTGCTTAAATCACAGCAACCACATAAAAGGGTTTTTTTTGTTTATCTTAGGTCATTTAGGAAACCAGTGATAAGTTTGCCGTGAAAAATTCCATCTTCTCCCCAAAGTTGGCATGTTCATCCCAAGCTACAGGCTTTGATTTCATTTTAAGTACAGTTATGCCATATAGAGCTTTCCTTTATGGGCTTTCCTTTCCTACTAGCAAATGATTTCTTTCCCCTCAGGAACATAGTATAAGTTAACTAGCAGGTCTTAGAAAACAAAGGACAACTACTTCATCCCCATACAAAAGGGATGGTCAAACAGTGCCTGGTTCAAGATTCTAAGTGGAAGACTGGGCAAATGTATAGGAGACAGAGTGGAAGGAATGGCTGAAGTAGAATCAGTGGCCCCTTGCGTGTGTCCCTGTAGAGTGGGGGAGGACAGGATGGAGAAGAACCTTTAATCCCTACTCTGGCTTCTCATGCCCTGCCACTTCCACATTGTCTGCAATAAGCTGGGCTCAGCTATGTAGGAGGTGATTGATTCCTACCTGGCACCCTCTTTGTGTAAAGCAACTGGACTGCTTCTCCTGCCAAAGACCTCTGAAGTGTGGGGCAAATCCAGCCCCAGCCTCCACCAATCTGTTGTTTGCTACAGTTGCAGAAAAAACACCCATCTGAGGAACGCTTGTGAACACTTACATTACCTTATGTTCAAACGCATTCCCCCTTCTAATAAGAAGCCATCAGACTACTGTACAGCAAAAATTTATTAGAGAATAGACTCTTGATTTTTACAAACACATGCTTTACATTGCTCCTTGAATAGTCCCATTGAAACCAATAGGATTGCTCATATGAGTAAAGTTAAGCAACTGCAAGATCAGGACCTAACAGATTAATTCAGGTATTATTTTGCTGGTGTTAAAAAAAAGTAGTACACGCACAAAGAAAATAAACATTCAACCCAACAGATAAAATTACTGCAAATGTATCTTCTATTATCTATTTTAGCTACAGTTTTCCACTGATTATGTGGATAATTGAAAATTTTACTACTGTTCTTATAAATGTGAGTAATTTCTTTCTGTCTTGTGTCAGCCAAAGACTGTTGGATTCCCATGGTGTAATGATCCCTGTTGTGGTTGTCTGCAAAGATTTTGGTTGTTTGGTTTTGTTCTCATTTGTTCACTGATGCTTCATAAAGCTACTACAGTTTCCCACACTTTCCCCCCCCTGATAATCTTTCATTGTTAACATACATGATGTTATGTGAAGGATTGAAAGCCACAGGGGGCAAGGGGAAGAATAAAGATGTTGAATTGATCTGAGGCTTGTGGGTTTAGGGTGCTGTCTGTGATATATAACGGAACATGTGTTGGAGAAGAATGTTGGCCACAGGTCACTACAGAACCTTTGGAGAAGGATTTGGTAAGAGTGATATGGGTGAGAGACAAATTGTGGACAGGTCTGATGGTGGTGGGTTACACAGAGTCACAAATGTCAGACAAGGGCATGAGTGCAGGCACAGAGGGAAATATTCTTTTGACTTCTACAGAAAGGAGCATAATTTTCAGACTCAAGATTATTATTTTCAATACAACCATTTTTCCTCCTGAGATCTAGTTTATATTACCATGTCCACTTTTGACTGCTCAGTTCTCCCTATAATTCAATGTTCCTCTCTTAAAAATTGCTGAGATCTCATTGCAGAGATCACAGCACAACATCATTTTTCATCTCTACTATATCCTGTTTAGTCTGGGCTTGTTCATGTTCATAAGAATACTTGAAATACTGTCTTGCAGAATAATCTAATGAATATACAAAAGTGACATGCAATAATTTCAGTTTTCATGGGAGATCACATGATATCTTTCACAAAAACTCACCATGTTGTGTCCTCGTGCCAATTTATCCCTCTGAGTAAGATGGCGTTCTCCTTAGTGAGAAAGATAATGATGCGATTCTATTATAAATCTCACAATATCTTGCAAATGTGCAATTACTCTTCACAAGTGCCCAGATGGGGATTATATCTCATTATATCAAGTGCTGTGCAAAAAACCAAAATGTCTGTCTCTAATTTATGGGCTTGGAAGCATCAGAAAGATCACATCCACTGATGAATAAACCACAAATGGTTCAGATTGAATATGTACCCAAATGATTGCATGCTTATCTTAACCTTGTCCAAAATTTGTAAGCCTCTTGAGTATGCAAAACTAGGCTAAAGCCACAATAGCTTCCTCATAAGGTTTCAAGTGTATCCTGCTTTCACTTGTGTTGGAAATGTGTCTGAAAGACAGTCCTTCTGGTAGTACATTAGCACTTTCATTTCTGAACCTTTTCCTATCCAGGAAGTACAGTGTGAAAATGGAAAATGTTTTTTAAAATATAATTTCAGAAAAAGTCTGTTTCGGATAAGTTTTAAATATTGAGTAAAGATTTGTATTGTATTTCCTGGTTCACCCAGGAATGTCCAGCCTTTTTTATTCAAGCCTAAACAGAACTCTCTAACTCCTAGCATCTTTTTCTAACACAAAAAACAGTCCAATTGCTTCTATTTAGAATTTCAAAACACACTCACTACATAATTCTTTTCCTTCTTTTCCCACTGCAGCATTCTGTAGATTTACTTTATCATTGGACTGTCTCTCTAGAGAAACCACTAGTTACCAATCTGCAAACTTTGCTTATTTCAATTTAATTTGCCTCTGCTATAGAACATTTTGGGAGTTTATCCCAAAGGAAGTGCCCATAGCAGACAACCTCAAATGAAGGCAAAGGAATAAAATACGTAGATCTTTGTATTTTACTGCTGTACTCAGAATAATTGTTAAGAGGTTCAATTTCAATTCTCTCTCAGCCTCCCCTCCCACCCCACTCCCCAGTTTTGGGGAAGCCGATATGCTAACATTGGGAAAGAAAACTAAACCTTTTTTTGTTCCTTAGCTCTTTTCTGTAGAGACCACAGTTTAGCCTTTTGGGGATTTGGATATAATATTATTTGGAGGTAAGTCTCTGATAGGAGAGTCACAATATCTGTAAAGAAAAAAAGTTTTAGGAAATCTCTCTCTCATTTTCACACACAAGTTATAACCCTTGAAACATTTGAGAGTGTTATCAGTACTAAGTCTTTTAAAGACTATATGTTCAGGATTCCCCCTCCCCAACCAATTTTAGTACTTGTTACGATCAAATTCAAATGCAAAAATATAATTATGGGTGCACACATACATGCACTTCCCTGTCTCTGTAGAATGGTGTCCAAACCTTCTTCTGGACACACAAACTCTGTAAAGTTGGGAAGCAAGTGATTCATAGTCCCACAGTCATTCAAACTCCCCTTGCAGAATTGTTAATTAAGTTCCATTTACTGGATTTTTATCAGCCTTAATGATACATAAACCAGAGATAATGAAGCCTGATATTCATATCAGCTTGAGTTTGTAGGGATGACAGTTAGAACCCCCCTTCCCCTTCCCCTTCCCCTTCCCCCTCCCTCCACCCTCCCACCGCCCACACAAAACTCTAATTTATAAAGTAAGCCCATTTAGGACCCAATCTTGCAATGACATTGTGAAGGCAGATGTCATTGGAGCATGGGGGCCTTAATCTGAATGTCAGAGCTCATGACTATGGAACCCCATAATTGCCATTTTTAGACTTGTGCCATGTGGGCAGGAACAACTGGTTTAAAAATAGACCATTTGTCCGCTCTTTTCTACATGCTGTTACATCAGCCAACCTCAACCTCCTCTGCAATGAAAATATGAACCAATGAAACCCAACATTGTGGCTAAGCTTTCCGTTACATGGAAAGGAAGCACATTGCAGACTGAGTAGAGCAGTAGTTGCTGATTAGCAAAGAAAGGACATTGACTGCTCAGCACTGGGCAACTGCAACTAGTAGAGTAGAGTGATCCTTTTGAGTTTGCCTTCACCTTTCATTTATACTTTGTTCCACTCCCTCTGTGGGCAGCCACTCTATTTCTGAGCCTTTAAAGTTTAATGATTCTAGAATTCCTGATTACTAACGGCACTCCCTGGAATACAATATCTATTCTTTGTATGTTACACTATTATACAAGTTGGTAGAGAAATGTGATAGTTGTATTAATTGGACCTAATGATTGCCTTTGGGAGATTACTGCTATTTTATGTTGGAAAGTATCAACACTGAAAAAAGGTGACATATAATTTACACGTAGCCATTTTTGTAGGCAATTTGGCCTTGCTCATATTTGCATAATCCAATGAATTTTTTAAAAAGAATGTTATGTGAAATAGAGCTGAGAAATATGATAAAGTACGCCTCTATTCCCAAGCTTTTTTCTCTCTGCGTGCATCTGTCAGTCAGAAAGGGCCACCATATGTTATATTATTTTTGCTTGTGCAGTTTGCTGGGAGGGCAGAGGGTGGAAATCGACGTACTCATTGCTGCTTTACAGTTAAAGAGTTGACAGTCACTGCTGGTTAGATCATTGCCCATAGGTTAGTTCAGAAAGTGCTACCTGGATCTAATGATATGTTCATATAGGGTATTTTTTTGTCCACCAGAAACTGAAGTGTTTTAACTCATTGATTTCTTACATCCTACTTGAATGAAGCAGGATTCTTTAATAAAATCAGCCTGGAGATTGATGGCTTTTGACCACTACATTTAAAAGAAGTTAGCAGCAAAATTGTAAATCTGGCCTGTACTCCCACCCTCGGGGCAAAGAAAATAAACAAACCAAGGGTATTTTGAATTACTCCTGTAATATTTGAAAAGTTTGCAACATCAAAAAATTAAATATGCGAGAAAACAGTTTTCTACTCAGTGTTGAACAAAGGAGGTAAAATGCTTCTAATCAAACAGTCCATTAACTAGAGCCTTTAATCCAGCAAAACACTTAAGCAGCTGCTTAACTTTAAGTGTGCAAGTAGTCCCATTGACTTCAACAGAACTAAAAAGTTAAGCACATTGTTTTTCTTTCTTGGGGCCTAACTGAATTTAAAATACCTAGTATAATAACTGATTAGAATAATTTCTGAGAGTCTTATTTTCCATAGGTGCTTTGCTTAAATAACTTTTTGTTTCTAACAATAGCTAACAGCAAATACAGCATGAATTACTATTGCTGGTATTGGGGTGAATGTCAGGGCTTCAGTCAGTCAGTGATCACTGTGCTAAGAACTATACAAGCATAATAAAAAGGTTCCTGACCCAAAGCATGAGATGATTATGAATAGCCTGATAAATGGTGGCTAAAGTATACTTGTTGCCTAGCCATTGTCATGTTCTTTCTAGGTCATGGCAAAAGAGTTTTCAGAAGAGGTTTGAAGAAGGACAATGAGGTGGTTTTGCATGTTTACCAGGAGCTCTTCCCAAGTATATGACATGAGAGAATGCACAAAGATGCTTATTGGGAAATTTGACAAATGGGAGGTCAAGACTGGCATTTTTGGCAGAGAGTCAATAAACGTCAGTTACTATACACTTGGAAATCTGAATATTGGAATCAGTTTAATTGCTCTAAATGATGGAAATAGAAATTATACTTGAATGACTGAATTAAAAATGCTGTAGCTAGAAACCAGGTTTGCAACTAAATTACATCACAAAATGTTAGTATATATATTGAACAATTATCAGCAGTTAGCTGTGATTTGATCATTAATACGCTGAAAGTAGTTTTATTTCTTAGTTCAGCCTGATGAATGTACTTTAGGATTGGAGGAGGAATCATCATAATTCCTATGTTTGTGTGCAGAACAAACAGTGAAAAATTGAGCTTTCAATTGCAATTTTAAGTTCTGAAGTCAATAAAAGATAACAACAGTAGTCGGAATGTCAGAGAAAAAGAGTTTGGCATACCATAGAGAATTGTGTTCTAATCTTCAGCATAAAAGTCTAGTATAAATTAGATGTTTCTACTGACCTCTCTAGCAGACTCTCCTCTTGGGCAAATATTGCCCCCGTTCTGTGGCCAGCTTCACCTTTTAAGATCTCCTTCTCCAGGTACAGCATGCTCTGCAGGGGAGATAATTGGCACTGCCTGGGTGCAGAGACATCCATTAGGCTTGCTGTCAGTGGGATAGGGGCATGTCCCATCACAAACAGAAAATTAAAAACAAGTTTCAGAACCATCAAAATATTATTTTTATAATGTCAATTTTGCTTTGAAAAGGTCAATATATATAATGAAAAGGTCAATATAATGTAAAATTTGAAACAATATAAAATGAAACATTTTGACATTATTGAAACAAAACTGTTTTGACATTATCATCAGGACCAAATGAAAAAGTCAAAGTTAATTGTTTTTACTTTATTCCATGGACATTTTGTTGAAAGCAACACATTCATGTGAAACATTGAAATCAATGTTTTGTTGAAATCAATCAACTGTTGATTTCCAACAGAAAACAGTTTCTAAAAAAAAATGTACTCTGCTCTATTTAGTAATAACATTAGGGAAGAAATTTGTATGCTTTGTTGTGAAGTGGGAGCACAAGAAAAGTTTAAAAACAGCCTCATAATAAAAACGGGAGTCACAACACATCCTACAGGTAGCCCAAAACATCTTCCATATATCAAAAGTTTCTTTTAATCCAGCTGCCTCTGGAATACTAAAACTGATATGCTCACATTAGTTTATTGGTTATGTCTGGGAATTTTAGACTAGTAGTTTCAATGGGAAATAGGTGTCTAAATATCTTAGGCTCCTGTAAAAATCCAACCCTATGACTATGTGCTGATTTATTCCTTAGACAATATACCTTATAGTCCTCTGAACAGATTGGATAGATCTAAGCAAAGAAATTATTACACATTGTAGCACAAAATGCATCAAATCCATTGAGACTGGGCGACTCTGTGGTTCAGTGAGGTATATTGAATTTTTACCCCTCCATCACTGATTCAAATCTGATTTGGAGTAAATAAAGCTGTTATCATCTGAAGGTCATTCTATGTTTACATGAAATTGCACAGTTCAGTTCCTAGAGGAAAGATATCTACAGACTCATGCCTTGCAAGAATAAAGTCATTGATTAAGTATTTTTAATTACTCACTCACAGTGTCTGTTATGAATGGGTCCCCAATAGAAGTAAGATGGCAGTAAACTTTCTAGTATCATTTAATTTTTAATGGTGGATTTTGTTATTGGGGGAACCTATCCATTTGAAATTAGACTGAGACTATCAACTCATTCACATAAAGCCAACAAGAACAATTAGGTATGAACTACTGATGGGAACTGGGGGACATTACTTATTCCTAAGGCATTCAGTCCCCTTTGAATTCTGTCTACTCAGGTTGTAGTTGGCTGCTGTGAGATCTCACTGCTTTGGTATGTTGGTTTTAGATGGAATGAGAATGTCTAGTCTGCCCACAATACAAGCTGCAAAAAGCTTAATGTAAAGAACCATGCATATGGTTGTTCTGCACATACTTAGTCATAATGAGTAAATAACTTCACAAAGGATAGTGTAAGTTTCACAGTCCAGGAAAGACTTAAAACCAAGTGCAGCTGCAAAAGCATCTGTAGTGTCACTTGGTTTCTCCGTCCTGTATTTCTAGCCAGAAAGATGTGCATGAGGGCTTCAAGGCTACTGCTTTCCATTCTTCCAAACTTGTAGTAATTGAATAAGTGACTTAAGAAGAAAATTTGACGGGTGGGTTTTAAATTTTGTTCTTGTGGTTGTGCCTAAAAATATTGACAAACAACTCAGCGTGTCTTGAAAATGACAATCTAGGGGGAAAAAGGTAGGTAAAGACAGTCCAGAATGTTTGTGATTAGGAGACAAGTTTAAGATAAAAAAAATTCATTGGAAAGAATCAGTAAAGAAAATAAATAACCAAAAGTCCAACAAGACAACTAAAAAGTATATAGCACTATATTAGGTTCACTCACAGCTCAGCTTTTCACTGCCCAGCAGGAGTTACAACAGCCATGGGGAAGCTTGACTTACTTTATTTGGGTATAGTCTCCAAGGGCTGGTGCTGTGTCTCAACCTCTTCCCACCTCCAACATTCCCCAACATGTCAGATTGTGGTGGTGTGGGGGCAGTTGGCTCAGGAATCAATTTTGCCAGTTTTACACCAACTGAGATATCATTGGAGCTGGCTAGAAAATAAAAATCTCTTGCTGTGCAAAATGTTCTGTAACATGTTTAAAACAAAAAGAGCTATTAAAAAAGTTATAATAAAAAACAGACTGAAAACTCCAGTCTCTATATAAAGAAACTATTGTCCTTTGGACTGAATAACGTGACCTCTGGATGGCAATAATGTCCTCAGTCTGGCTTTGAGAATTAAGCCCCCCTGATTGTCTATAGGATTGACAAAAGTGACAATATCTTTCCACATAAACTAGGCTTGGTCTACACTAAACCCCCAAATCGAACTAAGGTACGCAACTTCAGCTACGTGAATAACGTAGCTGAA